GTCAGCAGATTTAAAAGAACAACTGTTAATATGCAACTGTACATTACCATGTATGTAATGCATGCAAACACAAACTAAAAGCTCCACTACAGTGTGTGCTTTTTTACCTTAACAGCCTTCTTCTTTGGCCCCTCATCGTCATCAGCCTCCTCGTGCTCTTGTGCACCCTGTGAGAGATTGGTGTAGTTTGCGAGTTTACTGAGGAAGGATGACACCATGGGGTTGCTGTCCATTTCCTCCTGCAATAAAGAAACTCATCTTTAACAGCTAAACAGCAGCAGTCTTGTACAAATGACCTTTTCAAAATGACATTCAGTGGGAGCTTTTATGCTAATTTCAGGCTCAAAACCGTTATAGCTGAACTTTACTAGCAGCCTTGTATGATTTGTTTTTCAAAATCATTCCTTTAGATCTTATACTGGGCTTTAGTGCAGCCAGTGCATCTACATCTTCATTTTAAGCCATCTACCTTCTGACTGGCTGAATACTAAAAGAAAAGAATAGGCTGGTGGGGCTTTCATGCTCACAGACAGAGCCGTGTACCTGAGAAGCATATTCAGGAAATCTGCTCTCATTAAGTTCATACAGAGCCAAGAGTAGAAACAGAAAGTATGGTTCAGAGCAGCCTGATGCTTGAACTTTGGGCTTGCAGGAATTATATGTTCATATATATCACATCAAGGAAAAACTTCAAAGTTTAATTTGGCCTTTTGATGGGCAGTTATCGCATGAAGTCTTCCATTTGCAAAACAAACTGTGCAAAATTTTGTATTTTCATCCATTCAAAGCATATTTGAAAAGCATTCCTGGATCAACTTCAGAACCAAAAGCCGCGGCTGTCTTATTGATTCTACACAAGCGCCAGTGACCACAGAGCAACAAGGTCCGCCAAATGGCAGAGGCAAGCAGCAGGCAAAGGTTCAGCTGAATGGAGTTAAATGAATGTACCAGTTTTTATGGCAAATAAACTTCTTGACTGACACATTGTTGAGCTAAGGGTAAATTGGTGCTTTTACCTCTGCGAGTTTCTATTTATTTAGTTCAACCACAACTTAGACTGTTGTTCCAGCATACTTGGCATTAATGAATGGTTTGAGCTTCACAGACTAGCTCCAACTTAGGCTGCAGATAAGGTTCAGCCAGGGTTCTGGTGAATTTATAGTTTTTACTGTGGAGTTTGGGCTTTCTCCTTCCCAGCCTAAGCACAGTCACATTTCCTTGTGTAGTGGAACACACTCCTTGGCTTGTGAAATGATAGCGACATCCACATGATGATGTTGGGCAGTTACCTCAAAAAGTGCCATGTTGGTGCCATCGTAGCTGTTGCCTTTGTCGTCTGTGTTGTTGATAAAAGGACTGTTTTCCTTTGGGACTCCATCACCTGTAGAAACACAGTTTTCTCGTTATGTGAAATGCAGAGGAGATTTAACACATCGTGTAACCAAACCTCAATATAACCAGTGACTGGAAAACAATTGCTGTAAGAACCACAGTACATAATAATGCTGTTCATGGATCTTCATCCTGACAATGTTCGGTGGAAGTAAAGAAAACTTCAGATGGTTGCTTATGCAAATCATTATCACATGTTTCCATTTGTAAGGCGTTCCTCTTCTTATATCCAAGAACTTCCTGACAGTTTGGTTGACTCAGTGCAGGGACTGCCACAAATGTCATGTCACCACGCTGGTAGCAGAAAAACATTGAATGGGAGAAGCCAGAAAGATCTTTTAAGAAGACAATGAAACTATTCTCCACTAGTAAAGCTATTGCAGATGGTGTTATCTCTGAAAAAATATGATAAATCACCTTGGACAAGTACTTATACCAAGTAAGGCTGGGCCATATCATACCGTTCAAGGTAATACCGGTATAATGTTGGGCAATGATAAGAAAATGAAATATCAGGATAGAATATGGGTAAAACACGCATGCGCAGTGCCTTTGTTTTCATACGCACATGGCGGAAAAAGCACGGCGGCGAGAGAGAATGAGAAGGGCAAAAGCGGATCGTTGAATGAAACAGATGAACCAGAATTGGTTTGTAAAAATGCTGCAGCTTCAGTGGTGTGGAACTGGTTTAGCTTTCGTCCAT